TGCTATTTTTTTTATTTTTATTTTCAATGTACAGACAGCACTTTTCTACAATTTTATTATATGTATAGATGACGCCATATAACGCCAATCCAGGCTGTAAGTTTGCATGCTATGTATCTTTAGCAAAACATGTACGCTCTGATTCCATAGAAACACCTATGTTTTGATGTTTTAATGCAAATAATAAATTTGAATTTAAATAACATCTCAATTAAAAAATATCACTTTAAATACATCTCTTTATTTATAGTATGAAGAAGGAAGCAGCAATCATGGCGAAAGAGATTGAGAAAAGACAGAAGGAGTACATAGAGAAGCAGAAGATGAAACATAGAATGGAAGACAAAAGTGAGTATTTAGCTAATTAGCACACTGTAGCGCTAATCTTTTTAATTTATATTTATGTACTCTACATGCAGTAGACATTGGGTCCGGTACTTTATGATAGGTATTCTTATAAAACTTTCTTTATTTGATCCAAAAGGTTGAAGGAAAATATGGCTCTTTTGAATAGGTAGGTATAAGTGTAAATTTTAAAATTAATGAAATAATTCACAGTCATCATAATTTTTTTTTATAATAGATATTTGCACGCCATGATAAATGGCAGACATGTCGTGAGCCACTTTTGTCTAAGATCTTGCATGCTGTATTATTTTAATTCTGTATGCACACACATGTTTGAGCACATAAAATTCTTATTCTTATAGGAATTGACTGATAGGAATTGAATCACAAATAAGTTTTTATTTTATTTAGAAAGAAAAGTTCTGATAGTACAGTGAGCGACGTACAGCAAGACACATAAGATCAATAGCACAGATTATCTAGATATAACATAAAATAACCACAGCGCCGCCAGTTTCGAAAAAACAAACTAGTTTGCGTTCTATTTTTATTATAATACGCTCGATCCGCCCCGGTTTCGCACGGTGCAATATGTATGTATATTATACATATAAACCTTCCTTAAGAATCACTATCTATTAAAAAAAAACTGCATCAAAATGCGTTGCGTAGTTTTAAAGATCTAAGCATACATAGGGACAGACAGGCGGTGGATAGCGACTTTGTTTTATACTATGTAGTGATTTTATCAAAGGTACCTTTGTTAATGCAGCTGTAGATGATTAGACAAGACAGCATTTGTTTAAAAATGTTCTCACACATTAAGTTTGTGAAACTATGGATTTATTAAATTTCTCCCCAGCACACACCCCGCTAAAAGGTCCCGGCACTCCGAGTGGATGGCAGCCACAACTGTCCCCTGCATACATGGCGGATGGGTTCCAGTACCTCAACTCTGATGAGGACGAGGAACCAGTCGACAGACCTGTACCTGAGTGGAGTACTTCTAAGGTAAGATTGAGATTGAGAAGATTTGTTTATTCCATGTTTTTTATTTATTTAGAAAATTTACATATATAACACTACAGCCATTAAATTATAATGTTATGTCAAGATACTACTACACTTTGTTGTAATTTGTTTAAAAACAAATGTTAACTTAGTCTCTAAAGTTATAAAACTGCTGTGTGGGAGCACCTTATGGTACTTAAAAACAAATTTATTAGCTAATTAAATATAAGAAATAAAAATTAATATAATTCAGAAACAAAATTACCAAAAAACTGACTTGTTTGACTTAAGAACTTGCTTTACAACCATTTTAATTATCTTAAATTTTAATTGTTCAATAATGCTATGCTATGTATAACAATAGGGATGATGACCGTGTTTGAAAATTTAAAAATGTAATTAGTTCTTCAGTTCGATAATGAAAAAATGTTAGACACGTATTTTTTATTTTGTTGTATAAAAAATTACTGAGATAAAACGAATCGAAGTTTACGAGTGGGAGGAAAACCGTCTTTTTTACGTATAAAACGTACTAAGAAGTGACGTCACGCGATATTTCAAATCAATATATCGTTGAAAGTATTGGGTTTTGAAATGCCCGAATACTAAAAGGCTCCTAAATTTGAAGTGGTGCTTTAGTATAGTTCTGTTATACCAATTCCTTGTAAAATGACAGATATGGCACTATATTTAAGTACTACTTCAAATTGAGTAGTCGTATTTGGGAGTAAGAAAATAAAAAAAATATGTGTCTAATGGTTTTTTACAGACGGACTTTAAAATAAAAATTTGTCAATTATCCTAATCATCATCATCAGCCTGTATTCGTCCACTGCTGGACATAGGCCTCTCCAATGGCACGCCACTGAGCTCGGTCTTCAGCTCCTCTCATCCAACCACTGCCAGCCACCTTGCAGATGTCGTCACTCCACCTAGTTGGAGGGCGCCCTACACTGCGTTTGCCTAGACGCGGTCTCCACTCTAGAACACGTTTACCCCAACGGTTATCGGTTCTTCGACAAATGTGACCGGCCCACTGCCACACTGATCCGTTGGGCTATGTCGATAACTTTGGTTCTCTGTCGGATCACTTCGTTTCGGATTCGATCCTTCAAAGAGACTCCGAGCATAGCCCTTTCCATAGCTCGCTGCGCGACCTTAAATTGGTGGACCAGTCGCACTGTCAGTGTCCACGTCTCGGCTCCGTATGTCATTACTGGAAGGACGCACTCGTTGAAGACTTTTGTCTTCAGGCTTTGCGGTATCTGTGACGAGAAGACTTGATTAAGTTTCTATATGCTGCCCAGCCAAGCTGTATCCTTCTACGGGCCTCCTTTTCGAAGCTGTTCTTACCAAACTGCAGGGTTTGTCCTAGTTAGATGTATTCCTGAACAACATCGAGAGGCGACCCGTTGAGAACAATTAATTGTCTCCGGAATGAACATTATTTTTGTTTTGTCCAAATTCATCCGGAGCCCAATGTGCGCGAAAAAATCAGCCAGGCTGCTCAGCACATATTGCATCATCTGCGAATCTCAAGTGTGAGAGATACTTGCCGTTTATGTCTATGCCCCGTCCTTTCCAATGCAGTGTCTTGAACATATCCTCCATAGCATTTGTGAACAATTTGGGGGATATAACATCCCCTTATCTCACTCCTCGATGCAGGTGATAGGTTCAGACTGCTGATTTTGTACTTGGACGGCCATAGTCGGAGCTTCGTACAGTTTTCTCAGCACTTGTATATATCGCCAGTCGACTTGGCCCCGTTGTAAGGACTCCGGAACAGACCAGATCTCGATCTCGAGTCAAAGGCCTTCTCATAGTCCACAAACGCCAAGTATAAAGGCCGATTATACTCCTCGGTCTTCTGTATAATCAATCTGCTTCATCGCGTGAATGTGGTCCATGTTGCCATATCCTCCTCGGAACCCGGCCTGCTCGGGGGGACTGGAACTCATCAAGCCTTCGTGCGAGACGATTCGTGATGACCCTGGAAAACAGCTTATAGATGTGGCTCAAAAGAGAAATAGGACGATAGTTCTTCAAAAGGGTTTTATCTCCTTTTTTGAAGAACAACGACAATGCTTCTTCTCGTGAGTTCTCCCCGTGAAGAGGACGGAATTAAATATACTTTGAAGCCGCTCGAGGATCGGTTTTCCCTGTGCCTTAAGGAGCTCCGTCGTAATTCCGTCCTCACCGGGGGCATTTCCATTTTTAAGCTGCCCCAAAGCCACCACGATCTCGTCTTGGCTGTCTTCTGGCAGCTCTTCAGTGAAGTGGCGGACAAGTGTGACCCTGGAATCCCCCGAGTATGATTGAGGTTGGGGTACTTGTAATGCATATAGATCACCGTAGAAGCGCTGAACCTCCGCAAGAATCTCCGGCCCAGAAACGACGACTTTTCCGTCAGATGTGGTCAGCTTCGTCAGATGGCTTCGACCTAGTTGCTGGATGAAAACTTTTGACCCCCGATTTCGCTCGATTGCTTGCCCCATGAGAAAGTTAATGTGGGCCTTTTGGGTGGTATGCAACGCCCTAGACGTGTCCTCGTACATTTCCTCTAGTTCTTCGTCCGAATATGTCGAGGTAGGGGCGTACACTTGGACGACTTTTAGGTTTATACCTCTTAGTAAGTTTTATCACAAGGTATGCTACCCTAGTCGACGCGCTGGAGATCTCCAAGACGCTGTCTGAGAGGGATCTGTGGACTAAAAACCCGACGCCGCCTTGAGATGGTTGGTCCTCTTCCCTAAAGTACATGAGATAGCCAGACTTCAAGGTCACTGTGTCCTCCCCTGTCTTCGGACTTCAGACAGCCCCAGAATATGCCACCTCATGTTCCCCAGTTCCACCTCGAGCTGAGCCAGGTGATCTTCGAGCCGTAGCATGCGCCCGTTGTACGTAGCCAGGGTCAGTTGGTGTTGTCGGCCTTTCGTAGCTCGGGGATTCTTAGCACCTCCTGTCCCGCCGTTACCATGGCCGCTGACTTGGCCAGGAATAACGGGGCGACCAGGGACTAGGGGCCGTTTTTTGGAATATCGTGCCATATAAGGTAATGCCCATAATCATCACGCTGGGCAGGCGGGTTGGTGATCGCAGGGCGTAGCTCCTCGCACTAGTGACGCTGCTCCTCGTCACTAGTCTGAAATTTTGCTACGCCTACTTAGCATGGTTATTCCGCCATGTGTCGGTCGCCAGAGTCTCGTCCGTTAGTCAGCAGGATGTACCACGAGTAGGTAAAGTTGGCGGGGCACTGAGATGGTGTTGTGCCCCTAACATCCCAATTATCCTATTAACAATATATAGAATCTATTAAAAATGTAAATGACTGTCCTCTTAGCCTTATATCTTCTCTAACAAGTGCCTCCTAACCCCCCGTCCAGGCCCGGCGCGGCCAGCTGTACGTCCAGAGCCAACTGTGTCGCGCGCACGTCGACCGACTGTTCAGCGTGCGCGTGCACTCGCCCGACCTCCGCGACATCTTCCCGCGCATCGAGCGCGCGCGACTCAAGCGGACCTCCTCCGCCGTCTGGCACACGCCGCCCGCGCGCCTGCCCGCGCTGGCCGAGTGAGGACTACTGGTAACTATATCTACATTACATCGCGCGACATCTTCCCGCGCATCGAGAAATACATAGCCGCCGACCAACGACAAATTGAGTTCAGAACTGGTTTAATGATAATGCCACTTTATATGGCAGAGGTATGGAAACTTATTTCGTCCCGGCCACTTTAAAAAACATTTTTTTTTTGTAACGCTCCCATTTATTTTCTGTGTAGCGAGTTTATGTATAGTAGTTGCTGAAATCTGTACTAAATCCGAAAAATATTTTGACAAAAGATGTGAATTTGTCTGATGTTCTTTGTTCGTATTCATTCACATTTTATTACACAACAATTAACCAATCCTATATCTATTTCCAGATGAAAGTGATGTGTTCAACTAGTACCCGTCGCGGGCGGCGCTGCGGTCTGTACATAGCTTACAAATGATACATAACACAGAGCGTGTATGCTCAATACTTATATATTGAGGCAGACTGTTGTATCTACAACATGGTTTTACTTGATAGCTGTGTCTTTTACACTGTTTCTGTGGGTTAAAGCTTTATTTAATATAATGGTGGTTGAGAACAATAGTCATTGCAATAAAGGTAAACTTTTGCCTTAGCAAGCAGCCTTCAAATATTTCATCATCATCATCAACAGCCTATAAATGCCCACTGCTGAGCAAAGCCTCTTCTCACACGGAGAAGGTTTGAGCATTAATCTTATATTAATGATATTTAATGGAATAAATAGACAGAATTATGAAACCTCCTTTTTAGTAAGTTCATGCATGTTTGCCTTGTTATAACTTTATCTGAGTCTTTTTGGTTGTTTTCTATTGTATAATCTGGCTTATAGGTATTGCAGTGAGTTATTAAAAAGCTGAATCACTACATGGTACAAAACAAAGTCGCTATCCGCCGTCTGTCTGTCCCTATGTATGCTTAGAACTTTAAAACTACGCAACGGATTTTGATGCGGTTTTTTTAAACAGATAGAGTGACTCTTAAGGAAGGTTTATATGTATAATATATGCATATTGCATGCGAAGCCGGGGCGGGTCGCTATTAAATACATATAAACGCGATAGATATAATTATATCAAGGCAATTCACAAAATGCTTGTCGGAATACACACTCAAATGTAAGTTTTATTTGTCTCATATTAGCGACAGTTGGAATAATGCGAAATTCTATTAAAATACAGCTGTGTACCCACTAAAAGAAACACGCAATAACACACGCTATTACAACGTAATATAGATCAATAATTATAATATATGAAGTTTTTATTAGGTATATTGTTATGCAATGTTTGAACTATCTTACTCGATATGTTATTCTCGAAATCTGAGATTTTTGAGAATATTATAATTAGGACATTTTAGAGGCGTATTTTATAGGACTTTCTGGAAATAGTGGCGTCGTATGTATTCGTTAATTATTGTTAATTACAAAATAGTAGTAATTTGTTTGATATTGGGTTTCTTTTTAGCTATATTAAGAGGTGTAGTTATGCGAATAAGATGTCATAAATGACTAGACTATGTGTCATGACCCCTGTTACAAATCTCATCACGATCCCTCCATCCGTTTTGACGTGGTTGAGAAACCAACGTACATACATACAAACTACTTTAAATTAGTAATTTTCGCAAAACTATGTCCTATTTGTATTGTAACTCTCGTGAGACATACTAAATAAATTATTATGTTTTCTTCGTCTTACTCACGTAATAATTTGACAAGCAACTCGACTAGTTTCAAGCCATGCTAGAGGCTCATATTCATGAGCAGCATTTCACGACCCGCGACGCGGCGACTGTCGCGCTGCTACTGGCTACTCGAGTCTGC